CCTATACTTGTTTCAAAATTTGAATTAACTTGAATGAATTAGCAGATTTTCAATCGTTCTAATATTCACTATAATTCTAATTATATTTAATTGAATTTCAGTTATATTAAATATTAAATTTTTGCTTCGTTTCATATAAATTTGCACATACAATTAAGAAAGTAATACATTAATGTTGTGGATACATATTTTCAATTTCATGCGCATTGTGTTCAAAAAAGGGAGATATTCGCGCGTAATAAGTATTTTACAGTGTTAGCAATCGAACTACAGTAAAATTACTAAAAGGAATTTTCCTTTTCTCTCTTAAAATTTCTTCTTTTAGAAAAGGAAATTTCTTTTAAAAAAAGAATTAAAATTGTATACTGTATTTAAATTAATAAAAATAAAATATTTTATTTTTGTTTATAAATTAAGTAAAATGAAAATATTTGGTATATAATAAAAATATTTTTCAAATTATAATAAAAATATTGAAAAGATGATTACCAATGGAATATAATAAAAGATTAAAATAACTATATAACATTTTATATATATATACACACAATCTATAGACATAAGTTATTTGTTGTTAAGCTTGACTTGTACATTTAATATATGTTTACTACATATCTCTTAATAAGTGCAGACATTATTTATATATTTATTATGCAAAATAATGCTACAATATTTTAATTTCATATTATTTGATTTTGATTTTTAAAGTGAAATTAATTTAAAAAATATATATATTATTTTTTATCATAAATATGAAATATGAATTAAAATAAGTAAAAGTATAATAAGTATTTCTGAAATATTTGTACTTGTTTAAGAATTTAATAAATATTATATATATTACTCACTTTAATTATTTATTTTGTTAAAAAGTAAAAAAATTAAATTAAATTAAACATTATGGAGAAATCACAGAAAATGCCAAAAGTTGCAAAGGTATGTAATTTTTATATTTTATTAATTATATATCATTATTATTTATCATATAATCTGATATTTGTTTAAAATAATTTTTTGTATAAGATTATTTAAATTTTATTTTATTTTAGGTTAAAAATAAAGCACCTGCTGAAATTCAAATAACAGCAGAGCAGCTTTTACGAGAAGCTAAAGAAAGGGATTTAGAAATTTTACCACCGGTAAAAATTTTTAAATTTCAAATATTTTTATATAATATTTTAATATAAATTTTAGTATTTTAATATTTAAATTAAAATAATTAAAAAATGTAATAAATACTTTTTAGCCACCAAAGCAAAAGATCTCTGATCCTCATGAATTAGCTGATTATCAGCATCGAAAACGTAAGGCTTTTGAAGATAATATTCGTAAAAATCGTATGGTTATTTCAAATTGGATAAAATATGCTCAATGGGAAGAAAGTCAAAAACAGATACAACGGGCACGGTATGAAATATAAAATTATCTTTATTTCTTAGTTCTTTAAAATGACCTCACATTGATTCATAGTGTTTATACATTATGATTATGTATTTATAATTAATATATTATATTTCTACTAATAGAAAATGTTCTCAATTTTATATTAACAATAAAATGTTTAAAAGCATGATATGTAATATTACTTTCAAAAATGTTATAAAAAGAGGATAAATATTAAAGAAATTTATTTTACAAGGTTTTATAATGAATTTATAAATTTCAGATCCATATATGAACGTGCTTTAGATGTTGATCATAGAAATATTACATTATGGCTCAAATATACAGAAATGGAAATGCGAAATCGTCAAGTAAATCATGCTAGAAATTTGTGGGATCGTGCTGTTACTATATTACCAAGAGCAAATCAATTTTGGTATAAATATACTTATATGGAAGAAATGTTAGAAAATATTGCAGGTAAATTTCTTTCTTATATTTTTAATTAAAATAATATATTATAAAAACTTAATAATTGAAGAATTTATTTAGGAGCACGTCAGGTATTTGAAAGATGGATGGAATGGGAACCTGACGAACAAGCATGGCAAACTTACATTAAGTTTGAATTAAGATATAAAGAAATACAAAGAGCTAGACAAATTTACGAACGATTTGTAATGGTTCATCCTGAGGTTAAGCATTGGATAAAATATGCTCGATTTGAAGAATCTCATGGTTTTATTAATGGTGCTCGCAATGTTTATGAACGTGCTATTGATTTTTATGGCGACGAAAATTTAGATGAAAGATTATTTATTGCATTTGCAAAGTTTGAAGAAGGACAAAGAGAAGTAAAAAGATTATATTAAGATTATTTTATTATAATATCCAATGATAATATTTAATACATCTTATATTGTATTTTTGTTATAGCATGATCGAGCTAGAGTAATTTATAAATATGCATTAGATCATATCCCAAAAGAAAAAACACAAGAAATTTATAAAGCATATACAATACATGAAAAAAAATATGGAGATCGTTCAGGTATTCAATTTTAATAGATTTATCATAATGAATTTTATATATGTATAATCATATATATTATTATTTATAGGTATTGAAGATGTAATAGTAAGTAAACGAAAATATCAGTATGAGCAAGAAGTAAAAGAAAATCCTTCTAATTATGATGCTTGGTTTGATTATTTGAGATTAGTAGAATCAGAAGGAAATGTAGATATTATTAGAGAAACTTATGAACGTGCAGTAGCTAATGTACCTCCAACTAAAGTAAGAAATTATTATCCAAAATAATATTTTATATATTTTAAATAGATAAGTTTTATATATTTTAATAGATATAAATTTATCATTTTTTAGGAAAAACAATTTTGGAGGAGATACATTTATCTTTGGATAAATTATGCTCTTTTTGAAGAGCTTGATACTGAAGATATAGAAAGATGTAGACAAGTTTATAGGTAATGAATATTTTTTTATTAAAATTGATGCTTGATTAATTTATTTATTTTTTTCAGAGCTTGCTTAGAATTAATTCCTCACAAACATTTTACTTTCTCTAAAATTTGGTTATATTATGCTAATTTTGAAATAAGACAAAAAAATTTAACAGCAGCTAGAAAAACATTAGTAAGTAATAATTTAAAACATTTATGAAACTTAATAATTTCTTAAAAAATAATAATAATAATTTTATTTTTACTGATTTTAGGGTATGGCATTAGGTATTTGTCCCAGAGATAAATTATATCGTGGATATATTGATTTAGAAATACAGTTGAGAGAATTTGATAGATGTAGAATTTTATATGAAAAATTTCTTGAATTTGGACCAGAGAATTGCACTACATGGATGAAAGTATAAATTTATTATTTTATTATTTATTATTTATTATAATTTTACAAACACGCAATAGATAATTAAAAATTATTTATTAATATTTTATTCAGTTTGCAGAATTAGAAACACTCTTAGGTGATGTGGAACGAGCACGAGCTATTTACGAATTAGCTATATCACAATCAAGGTTAATATTTAAAAAAATTTTAAATATTAAAAAAATTATTTAAAAATCATTTCTTTTAATATATTCCTATTATATTGTATTATATTATTATTTTAATTTGTAGATTGGATATGCCCGAACTTCTATGGAAATCATATATTGATTTTGAAATATCACAAGATGAAACAGAAAATGCAAGGCAATTATTTGAAAGGTTATTAGAACGTACACTTCATGTTAAAGTAAGTTTAATATATAATATAAAATGCATTTTATAAAAATTATTTTATATTATTAAATATAAATTATATTTAGGTATGGATAGCATATGCTAAATTTGAATTAGCAAATTCAACAAATGAGGATGATTTTGATAATGTTGTATTGGCAAGAAGAATTTTTGAACGTGGAAATGATGCTCTTAGACAAAATGGTGATAAAGAAAGCAGAGCGCTACTTTTAGAAGCATGGAGAGATTTTGAAAATGAAAAAGGAGATGATGAAACTCGAGTTAAAATAATGGAAAAAATGCCTCGAAGAATTAAACGTAGAAGACGTATCGTTGGAGAAGATGGAGTAAAAAATTTATTATATTTAAAAATTATTTTAAAAAATATTTTTTTATATTTGAAATTTTTATTTCTAGAGTGATGATGGTTGGGAAGAAGTATTTGATTTCGTATTTCCAGAAGATGAATCACAAAGACCTAATCTTAAATTTTTGGCATCTGCTAAGGCTTGGATAAAAAATAAAGAAATTAATGAAAAAAATGAAAATAATCAATTAGATTCCAATAGTTAAAATAAAAAATTATTTTTGTAAAAAAATTTTTTTTTTGTAAATAAAAAATAAATTTTTGCCTTTTAGTATGTAAATAAAGTAATGAGTAAATGAAAATATAAAATAAGAAGATTGATTAATTTTAAATCTTTTTAAAAACATTGATTATTTTATTTTATAAATCTTAACTAAACCAAATTAATAGTTTAAAAATTGAGATTTATAACTCTTTTAATAATTTTAAAATAAAATAAGCAACTTTATTAATAAAATGAAAATGTTGTTTAAAGAAAAAAAATATAATATTCAGTAACCCTTTTATTATATATTTTTAATATTTTTAATGTACAGTTTTATACTTCACAATGAAAATGTAAATTTATAAACATACATTACATACATTAATCCCAGATGTTATTTATTCAACCACTTATGCAAATATAGTATATAAGTGAAAAGTACAAAATATTCTTTGGCAGTCATGCGTTTCTTACCACAACAGACTAATTTATTAAAAAATTTCGATGTAGATAGTAAACAAAATTAATTTTTTTCCAAGACAGCTTATACTATAAACAAACAATCAAAAAAATTTTATAAAGAAGCAAGTAATTCTAGTTATAAAAACGCAGATCTGCTATAAGTTTTAAGTGCCTTTGAAGGCAAAATTGTATTAAGCTATTATAAAAAAAAGTTTACATTATTTTTTCAAATTATATCGCTTTGTACTTGTTACAATATAGTGAACTGTAATATCAGTTTGATATAATTATTAATCCCTTTAATTTATTTGTTATTCATATTATTTATTTGTCTTTGTAGAATACTTCTTTTTTTCATCACTTTCAAAACCAGAATCTAAATCATCACTTAAACATTTTTTTAATGTATAACTTTTAGAATGTTGTTGTATGTCTCTGTGTTCAATTGATAATTTTTTAATGCAACTTATTAATTGTTGAAAAAAATTAGGATAACTATCATATCCAGGAAACATATTTACATCTATAATTGCATATTTTCCAGTATGATTTTCAATAACAACATCTACACCAACCAAAAGTAACCCAAAAAGTTCTGTAACTCTTTTGACAATTTTTTTTAATATTTCATATTTTGGTTTTACTGTCATTGGAATGTCTTCTTCCGTAAGAATTGACCATTTAGATTTGGAACCACTCTTACATATATCGTGAGAACTAAAAAATATTGTATTTAATGCAGTACAGTCTTTTTCATAAAAATTTTTGAAACTAGGTCTTTCAACTACATGAAAATTTTCTCCAACTATATATATTTTATAAAGAATTGCATTATGGTTGACAAATTCTTGGGCTACACAAGGAGGCTGACAATCTTTTACACCCTGTTCATTAAAAATTACCATCATCTACAAAAAAATATTTACTATTTATTTTTATAAAACATATGTTTTAATATATAAATATATTTAATAAAATACCTTATGTGCATCATTTGAACCCTGAGCGACAAGTGGTTTACAAAGAAATGGGAACTTAATACCTGCCATTTTTAATAATGATATATTTTCAACAGTATTTTTACTTTTAATTTCTATAAACCTTGGAGTAAATACTTCTAAAAAACAATATACAGATTAAAATTTATAATTTAAAATTTAATTTTTTTTATCAAATTATTTGTTAATATAATAATAAAATTATATAATAATATAATATAATAATAAAATTATATTTTAAATAACAAATTTTTATTTACCATTAAGTTGTAACTGTTCTTGCAAGATTTCATAAGATTTATAACGATTTATTAAAATGCTAATATTATCCAAAGGATCAATAACTATTATTTCAGGATGTTGGCAGAAGTATTCTTTCATTTTTGAAATAATTGCTTTGGCCTAAAAAATATAATTGTTAATTATAATTAATTGTTGCAGTGCTTTTTGTTGCAATAAATGTAAAAAAAAATTAGTTCATACATTTTGATCACCATATTCAGCATGTGCTAATTTATCTGTCATTTTGTATATAAAAACATGAAATGGTCCCTGAGGTTCAAGATCAGAATTTATATCAATCTGAAATTGAAGCATCAGTTTTAAAATATTATAATTTAATATAAGAAATTATATTACATAAAAAATGAACGTACATAACCTCACATTAGTTTATGTATTTTATAATTTTCTAATAATAACATAGAAAAACTTAAAAATTAATTACCATTTTTAATAGAAAACCTTCAGATTCACAAACACTACAAAAATCATTCCAATTAAATTTTTGTCGCTTTTTTTCAGATATTGAGTAACCAATGACATACTTGTCGCACATTTTTTTTTCGTGTTGTTTTCTTATATAGAATATAATTTTTATCCATTAAAGCGTATACAGTACATTATTTTAACAATCTTCTTAAGTATGCTATACTTTATTAATATGTTTTCTACGAGATTCTTATATCAACTAATTTCATATTTTTTCCAAAATGTAAGGTTATGTTTGAACCGTTTAAAAAATATTCGTTTACAATATTATTGTACTTTTTCTGGTTGTATACATTTTATATTCGGTTTATAAAGGATATTCATTTTCTGAAACTTAAACTTCATGCACAAATAGAATTATTGTTATTTATTTTAAAGTATATGATAAACGATCACAGGTTAGCGATATTACAATGACAAGCACATTCCACATTATTTATGCTTAATTACACGAAACTTATAATAATTCAATATATAATATAATTATCTAAAATTATAATTCTATTTACAATATTTTAATAATATTTTTCATCATGTGTTTAATGATTCTTTAAAGTCATAAATATTACGGAATATGTCACCGCCGTTGCATCTTCAATTGCAATATTTGCAATATACTTCATATTGATGATGAATGTAGCATGACGGATTTTTGATCAAATCAGCAATTTTAAATTTCTCCTATGCTTTGTGTAAGAGACTAAAAATAAATTAATAAAATAATATAATTAAAAATATAATAAAATTAAAATTTACTTTTTTTTTAATGAAGATTTAAAATAATGATATTATAATAACATTTAAATTTAAATAATTTAATTTCTTATTTTCAATTTACATGATATTCAATTTTAATGATTCTAGTGTGTATAATTATTTTATATGTAGTATTTAATGAAATTATTTTACTTTTGAAGATTCATTCCAAGAAGTTAACATTTCTTTTGTAATGTAAATAGGATCGTTTTTATCAAAATCAACCGTATTTTCTCCATCTGATCGATTTTTTGTCAATATTCGAACTTCTCCAAGAGAATATGAACTGGAACTTGGCATGTATAGTTCTCCTTCAGATCGTGAAATATCTGATAAAATTTCGATCTAAAACAATAGCAATTAATAGTAAATTAATAATAACAAAAAATTAAAAAATTATTTTACGCATGAGACAAAACTGAAAATTAATAAAGATGAATTAATTTATTTTTCTCGGTTAATCGAATAATTAAATTTTTTTTACCTTATTTGAATCTATCGTAGATATGCTAGATATACCATTAGATAATCTGTAAAAGATATAATTTAAAAAGAATATAACGTTTAGAAAAAAATTTTTTTAAATAATAATAATTAATAATATTTTACAATAGTTTTTCTTAATTAGTCAAAATAATTTTAAATATAATAATGATCGATTGAAATAATAAAAAAAAAAATTGTATTTAAAAAATAACATTAAAAATTTTATATTATCATTGTTTACCTATATTCTTGGTTGAGTAAACTCGAATAATTGGTATCGACATACGTAGAAGAAAATTTTTTGTCCAGATCATCATACACATTCGATAAAATCTTTTTCTTTTCCAATAGATTATATAATAAATTATTTCTTATTTTATTATCGATTGCGACACTCGATTCTCTAATGTGTCCAAGTTCGTTCATATCCTGTGAAAATTCTGGATTATTCGATGACGTTCTCGAAAGATTTCTTGACGAAGATCGAAATGATATGAAATTACGTAAAGAATTAGATGATGAAGCCTGTGAAAAATTATTATCAAATTGTTTATCATTTTTCTCTGCGTCCTTGATAGAATATAATTCAACAGATTTTTCTTTTTTTAAATCGGGATTTTTATCAGAGATTTCAAAATCATTATGCTTCACATTTTCAGTTTTTTCATCATTTGTTATCAATGATATTTTATTAATACCATTTAAATTGGTATCTTCATTATGCAAATTTATTTTTTCATTTACATACATTGCATTATATTTTTTATTTTCATTTGATTCATTAACAATGTTCGATACTGTTTTTGTAGAAATTAAATTTTCACTATTGATTTCTTTTCTTTGTATATCAATATCTTTCGAAATGATATTTTCATTATTTCTTTTAGAAATATTATTATCAGTTTCTGCGCTTTTTTTTTAAATCAATATTGAAATTTATTTTATCTACTTCTTCATCTCGAGTATTTTCATTTTTTAGATTGCGATATACTTTGATTACGTTTTAATTCATCTTCCGAATTAGGAATCGATTCAATGAGAATAGAATATTTTCCATCAGATTTATTCAAAATATTTTCTCCCATAATTTCTCCGTTATATTTAATAGTTTCAGCCGCGCTAAAATTTCCTTCACTTGGCAGACGTTCTAATTGCAAATCTTGTTTTTCAGTTTTTCTCATTTTCTCGTCATTCGATTCCCTTTCTTCAACTATTTGTGCTATTTGATTTCTATTTGAACCAACATTATTCGAATCTTCGACAATTAACAATTTCAAATTCGTCTCGTCGCTTTTCAAATTCTCAGTCAAGTTTTTCACTATCAATGGTACGATCTCATTTACGTTAAAAATATTCTTTATTTTATCTTCTATTAATCGCGTTTCTTCACAAAGAACGCGTGCGATTAAATTTTTCGAGCCTCTCGATTCCTGTTTCAAAATTCCCGGGCAAACAATATTTTGCAACGTTTCAAAATTTTCTTTTTGAACTTCATTATCTTGATCTACTTTCAACGAGTTTATCTTCAAAATCGTTGTCTTTTCGCGAATCTCGTCATTGATCGTCAATGATTTTGACATTTCTTCCGTTATTCTCGTGTCATCTCCGTTTTTCATGTCAATACTGGAGGATTGAGGATAGTTAGAGGAAGTGGTAAGGTTCGAGCTATCGTTTACAATTCGAAATAAATGTGTTTTGTGACGAGGAATTTGTTTTGAGGCATTAATTCCTATCGTTTTCCCATCCTTGCTAATATCTTCGTTAGATTCAGACGTTTCTTCTTGCTGCGGAATTCCTTCCAAACGCTCGATCCATCTTTCATTAACGAGTTCAATCGCGTCGGAAATTTATTCGAGATTTTTGGAGCAGCATATTCTTTTTCGAATCGTGATCTTTTTTTGTAAATATTGTACCCTTAACCCGTTTCATTTTATTCACATCCCATTCCTTGTTAATATTTTTATTCGTCGCTGGTAATCGATCTTAACCGTTTTTATCTTCGTTCCTTGTTTGCTCCTCGACTGAGCTGAGCATTTCCTTTTCTTATAAGTTTTTTCTTCGCCCAATGATACAGGCTCAATCAATTTTTTACTGGTTTTCATCCTTGTTGTATCATCTACTTGATACTCCTCAAGTTCCGGTCGTGAAAGAAATTTATCGATCGTTTTCGTCGATCGAACGATATTGTCGATTATTTTATTGTAAGAGGACAAAACACCATCCAGTTCGTCCACAGCAGGCTCGTACAGGGTGTAAAGTTCATCCGATCCTTCCGAATCTTCCGAGGAAATTATACTCGGGGACAAAACGTGACTAGAATTTTCATTGTCAATTTTCGACTTTTTCACTTTCTCATCTTTTTCGCAATACTTTTTAACGATACTACTGAAACGTTTGTCTATCTCCTTGTACCGTTCTTCCTCATTCTCCGTTTTTCGCTTTTCACAAATCTCTTTGTGTCTTTTTTTGTTGATCTTGTATATTTCTTCAATTATGTTACTTGATAATGGCAATTCATCGTTTATTTTAGAATCTGCCAAAGATAGAGAATATTTAAGTTTCTCGTTATTATCTTCCAAGATACGCGTTAAAGTCGAATCCTGTCTCAAATTAGAGCAGATTTCCTTTTCCTTTTCACGATTTCGATTCGGTTTCGAGGCCTGTTCGTCGAATCGTATTTGTTTCTGCTCATTTTTGAAAGTTATTTTTGAATTATGCTCCGTTATTGCCTCTTTCTTCACAGCTTCATTATCCGGTTTAAGGTTTGAAACTTTTTGAATCGATTTATCGTTAATGGATTGTGTTAATTTAAGATTCATCGTTGATTCAAGATTTTCTTTATTCTCAAGATTCTTCATTAACGATTCCTCCGTTTTATTTTCCATTAATTTTTCATCGCTTTCCACGAAAACGCCGGGACACTCTTTCGACGCAATATCTATTCTCTCTAATTTATCAGAAATTTCTGCAGAAATCTCATCCTCATCTTTCGAGCTTCCTTTCTTCGATTTCCCATTCGTAGATCTCATACTATTTTTACTATTACTATCATCCGATATCCTCACAACTTTCTCCTTCTTTCCAGGCGAGAATCCATCATTCTTTTTGCAAAAATCGTGGCAAATCATGTAAGTCCCAACATTTGGATTCTCTTGCACGAAAGAGGGATCCGGTGATATGTGAATATTTTCCAAATTTTGCGTGTTCAGTTCCCCTTTTATATTCACCGACGGACCAGCCTGAACGGTAAACGTGCTAATCCTTTTATCTTTCTCGGTCTCGTGTTTAGAAGAACGTGTCCGATTCTCGTCTTTCTTCCTCTCGTTATTTCCGCGTGTATCCCCGATAAAAGACGAAAGTCCCAATTT